TGAGAAATGTATAGCTAAATAAAATCAACAGAACACGCTTTAGTAATATGTTTCTTTTGCCTGATACATGTACATGCATCCATGAATACACATGACAAGAATAAATTTGAGCTTATAGTATAAAACTTGAGTTGGTCAGATTGATTTCTCTTTCTACTTGTTTGTAATGCATGGAATCCATACAGCTAACATGAATTGTCCAGGTGAAATGAAAAAATACAAAATCCAGAGTATTTAAAATGGTATAAAATGATAAATAAATGATAAGTCACCTGTAACATATTTTTATGGCTGTTGCAAATATCTGTATTCACTTAACTTGTTGACATGACATTTCTTTTTTTCCCATAATTTTATTGAGAAACAAATAGTAATGAGACAGTTTCAAATCAAATTGGTAGGACAGTTTCAATAATTAACACTAAAGTGACATTTCTAAACCATTCAACTTTCACTTGTTTACTATTCAATTTCATGTAATGGATTTCTGTTCTGAGTCCTTGTTAGGTTTTTGTCTCCAGTTTCTGTCTCTGACAAACAAAATAACAGAAAAACATACTATCATTGAATCTTCATACACTCAGTTGTCTAAGGGTAAATACCATGAAGCTGGATTTCTAGATTTAAGAGGAAACTCATTTTTAACACCTTTTATAGTATGCCTGATCTTTCTCCAGGCATCAATGCCATTTGAAATTGTACAATTCCTTGAAATGTCTGTAAGTATAATTCCTCAAGTAATTATAATAACAAGATAATTTTGGGATAAATTTTTCTATCTCTGATTTATTTATTTAAAAGAGAATACAATTTTTTATAAAACATTAAAAATAATACAGAATTTCAAAACAAGAAGATGGGAAATCAACAATGGTTTCTATATTGCATATTGTTATCCTCAAAGTAGTTGTTCAGATTACCACATATAAACATGCAAAATTGAAACCGAAACTGCATGAGAAACACTTCAATGAATCAACAGCTGGGATCTCATCTTACTGAAAAGTTTTTACACATCAAAAAATATCACCAACAGAATAAGAAAATCCAGAAATTAGGAAAATGTTTCAGTCAATTCTCTCTCAGACAAAGGACATCTATCTAGAACATATAAAGGGTCAGAAAGATAGCTCAACGGTCTAAAGTGCTTGCCTAGGCAAGCTTAGGCAAGTGTGCAGGAACCGTGGTTTGATCCCCAGCACCAACTGTCGTGCCAGTCCCTCCCCCAGGGCGGACTGAGCCAGCTAAAAAAATAAAATAAAATAAATCAAGACCCCAAAGTTCAAAGAACCAATCAAAAAGTGGGCATCTGAGATGAATACATACTTCCCTATAGCATAATCTTTTCATCATTGTTTTAAACTGAATAACTAACATTAAGGTGGAAATAATGACAAAACATTTTAATTCATTTCAATACACATTGTTATGTGAAATAATATGTTTTCTCTACTGACTTAAAATTTTTCACAAATTATGAGAATTATAACTTGGTCCCGTAAAGCTTTTTCAATGTTTGCATCAATGAGCACTTCAATGACAATAGAAACATTAGCTAAATAAAACTATTTTTCAGAGCTTCTAGGTCAATTCAATCTAAAAGAATATTTTTGTATAATAATACTTTTTCCCATTGAGTTATATATACTTTCTTCCATCCTTGTGTTAACTAATGTCTTTTTTACTTAATAAATTGAGCGTCTCAATAAAAGTCTGACCTGCCACACCAGCCCTGCCCCCAGGGTGGGCTGAGCTGACCACAGAGTCCAGATGTAGTGGCATATGCCTGTAATCTCAGTACTGGGGAGCCTGAAAACAGAAGGATCACTATGAGTCTGAGCTGTGTAGTGAGACCCTGTGACAACCAAACAGGTTAAAAAAATTAAAATAAATAGAAAACATATTAAAAAGAAAACTCTGACCAAGTAAAATTAAGAAAAATCTGTGATATTGAAACAAGACTTAAGGAAACACACTGAAATACTTAGATGAAAAATTAAATGAAAAGATGAGAAAAAAATGTATCGTTAATTTGAATGCCCATTACACACAGGTTCAACAAGTTCAAAGAATTATTGGATTTATTTTTATTATATTTTAATTATTAATTAAACTTATTGGTCTGTAGAAACACAAACACATACCTGGATTGACATTTTATCTTTTTCACATGTCTTATTTTTTTCATATATAAAATGTAGCTTAATATACTCACTCTAAGGACGTATGTGCAGAATGCATAGAGCAGAAATTTCAGCCCTGTTCATTATGTCTCTCATACACTGGGTGTTCACTAAATATTTTCTTTTCTGTGTTTTTTATGTATGTGGTGCAGGGTCTCGGTATGCAGCTTGGACTCATAATGATCCTCCAGTTTTCAGCCTAGTGAGCACTGGGATTACAAGCCTGTGCCACCACGCAGGGTCCCAGTGGCCTGCTCAGCTTGTCCATGGCCAGGGCCAGTGATCAAATCTTGATCCTTGTGTTTGCCTAAGCAGATGTTTAGTCAACTGAGCTATCTAGCTGAAGCTAATAAATCTTAATTTTATTAAAATCCTTAATATAGGTTAGCAATAGTTGTCTTACAAAACTCTTCAAATTATGGTGCTCAAATTATCTTCTCTTTTATAGCTTTTAAAAAATTTGTCCATAGAAATAATATCTCATATGATAATAGTAATAAGAGTAATAATGTTCTTTCAAGTATAATAAGTACTTCTCACATTGTAAGGTCGATGTGAAGATAAATAACATCTAGTTCTGGAACACAATAAAAAGAAAATAAATGCAAT